TATAAAATAGTTTGTATGTTTTTAAGAAAAAAAGCTTATGAACGGAGAAAGATGCAAAAGCAATAAAAAGGCACTGATAATTGTTGCAGGATCCAGTCTGGGTCAGTCACTCATGAGCACAAGTCCAGCACAAGTCCAAAGCTTGCAAGACTAAATTTCTGGTCCCGGTGTCCCATCCAGATTGGATCCTGCAACATTATTTTGGGACACTTATATTTGCCTTCACTGATAGTTGCATTTGAGCAATCTTAACCAAATTCAATCCTCCCAGGTTTATTAGTTTTAGAGGAGTAAAATACCTAGAAATTTAGAGACAAGATCAGAACACAGGAGTCTTTTTGTGGGGAGACAAATATTGGGAAACCTTGATGTACAGTCTCTATTTAATTTTAAACTGTTTTTAAAGATAGAAGTCATTGTACTTATTTGTAAAATATGTTTATGTTAGCTTGGTTTGCTTATGTAAATTATGTTTGATATAAAGTTAAGTGTCTCAACTAAACATACTTTTAAATATTTATTTTTGCTGCAAGCAGACTAAGAAACATACCAATAAAGTAGAATATTTATAGCTCAGGGTTGAAATTAGGGGTCCTTGGTGGTCTTGCAGACATTATCCAAACTAGATAATATCATAATTGCTAATCCTGATGATGTTAGTAGTGATGCGTAATGGAAGGTTGCAAGAAAACAACCAAGCTCAGGGACCACCAAGGACCCCTAGGGAATGTACCATCACTACTGGGTTTCCCTGAAAATAAGACCCTGTCTTATATTTTTTTGAAGCCTGAAATAAGCGCTTGGCCTTATTGCCATGCGCTCAAAAGCCCGATTGGGTTTATTATCAGGGGATATCTTATTTTGGGGGTAACAGGGTATATTTCTGACAATTTTTTTAAAAGAAGACATGCAAAAAAATAAAACAGAAGTGGGATAACACTAAAAATGATAAATTGTGATAGTGATAAATTCCAGCTTTTGTTGTGCTTGGCATCAAAGATAGAGAAAATACTAATAGGGAGGGGGCAATAAAAGAGATATACCCTTTGTTACAAATGGAACATTGACTAATAGTGCCAGTAGTTCTGAATTGGAAACACTATCACCAGAAGCACTTTCTATTCCTTCTGATCCTTTTTCATCATAGTATATTATTTTAATGAATTTGTAAAAACTGAAGATCTGTCTGCATTGAGACAACTTTCTAATCCTTTCATGTTTATTTCGTGATTTGGAATGTTTCCAAATATTGAAAAATTTCTTTCATGTCTTAATTTCATTTATAATTTAAAATGGAAATATTAGGAAATATTTCATATTTCCCCCAGCCCACAGTCTAGAAAAACCAAAACCAAGCAGTCTTGGGTAAAAAACAATACATCCCAGAAAAATATTATCTACTTCTGCACACACTTCTTGTGTTCCTTTAAATCTCCAGTGTAGCGAAACCTGTACAGCATGCAGTTGAGAAAAACTAAACAGAAATTTGTATGTGTATGTGTTTGTGTTTCTTAATGTATTTTTCTTTTAATGTATCGTTTTTTTATTTAGTTTTGTATTTTATTTTGAAAAAAATACATTAATTTTAAAAGATTCTATTATATAGTATTATTTAATAAAAACAATTTAAATTCTTAATACAATGCTGATTTCTAGTACTAGCTTTTTGTTTTGTATCTCTACTATTTCTATGTCACTTGAAAAATGTTTTTCCCTTGATATTTAACCAGTTTTTAAAAAAGTGCTTATTTTCTGCTACTTCTTTGCTGGGACTTGAATTGCAACAGCTGTCAAAACAGTCTTGAAATGTACCTAAGTATACAAAAAGAATATGGTGAGAGTTCATTTCATTATGATAGAACTCGACACATGGTTGAATGATCCTCCAGTTTTGTGGTAAACCTTTGGTGACAATTGTGATATGTTCATAAGATGAAATTCCATCTAATTCTGCAGAAAAGAAGTCTCCGAGGAGCATGCAATATCTTAGAACAGTTCAGCATTATATTTAAGTGAGGTCTATAAACCTAGAACTGCATGAATTAAAATATTATCAAAGTTAAATATGTTAATGAGTAATGAGGGGAATTAATAGAGCATTCTCATAATATCTAATTTTTGTTGCTAGACTACAAGTATTAAAAAGTGCAGTAAGTTATTTTTATAAGTTCACACTATATGTAAGAAGTAGATCAAAGTGCACATATATACCCCACTCGTTTATTTTTTTTTTGTACCAGATAGTTCAAAATTCAACAAGAAATCAAAGGAATTAAGTTTAGCATCTGCTGGATTTTAATACCCAATGTAAAACCTTTAATTTCTTCCCTTAGTTATATTTGCTGTAGTTTTTAAAAGCTTGGACTTTTGTTTGCCGAGTTTTGTTATGCAATTCTTTCAGCTACATATACTGAACAACCATGAAAACTGAACTAATTCATGAATAAAGTGAAAAATTAGACAAGAATATTAAAGTGAATTAAGGAACATCTGCTACAGAAGATACAAATATTTATGGCAAAATAATGATACCAGTTCATAGAGTGATCTTTGTTCCTGGGTATAAACATTTTTAGAAATCTTTTGACACTCTTGAGATTCTTTTTTATATAGGTATAAAATGTCAAAGTTAAATATATTGTTCTTATGGGAGGGAACATAGTTTTAGCTTTTTTTCTGACCTAGATTTCTCAGCCAGAAATGGCCACCTAAATCTAGTATTTAGGATATGGCTTAATTTGAAGGCTACAGACCAGTAATGAAGAATTTGTTATCCTTTTAAACTTCACAATCAAATTTTTTTAAAAAAAACACCTAAGCCATATAGCAGCCATTGAATAGAGGAACATACCTATTGCAAAACTCAAGAGAAGAATTCAACTTTTAATCTGATCTGTTTAATGGTTTTGTTTCTTTTAAGCAGGAGGAAAAAGAATTACAATCATTTTTTTTATTTCACAATGTTAAACTAAAACTGAGCTCTAAGCTACATGTGTAAGTAAATCTAGAACACAAAAAGGGTTAAATAAGATTTCTTTAAGATTACAAGAACTGAAGCTTTCTTTACGTTTAACAAACCTCACAGAACAGATATTGCAAAGGAACAACCCCCCACACTTTTTAAAGTGAACATTGTCCATAATCCACATGAACGTGAGTAGTGTTTGCTCAAGAGATACCTTGAAATCAACTGTGCACGTGTATCAGGGCTAAAGAAAGATTAACAAGAGAAGAACAGCATCTTTGTTATTAATCTGAAAGTCTTGTATATCAATCAGAATGTCCATCAAATGCTATGCTAGGATTTTAGAAGGGAAGAAAGTGCATAGCGTGGCAGCAGCTGAAGTCCATGTTTGTTTGAAACTCTTCATGGCAAACGCAAAGAAAATTGTCTGGTTTCTCCCACATAGCGATGACAGGAGAATACTTCCTTAGGAAACAGAATATGCAGCTGGAAATTCCATTGCTGATTTCAAAGCCTTGAGTACAACACAGAATGGCTTTTCCATATTGAACTTTAGAATGGTGGATTGAATTCATCACCAATTTGCAATATAGGCAAAGGCTTCCTTCACTGGCCATACTGGCTACCAGATTAAATACAAATCAACCTGTAAACTAGTCACTGATCTTCAGAACATACAGAGCAGTCAGTGACTTATTTAAGCTGCTCTACCCTACAACCTTTTTTAAAGAGTGATATGAGGGAATTCACTCTTTTTGGTGGCTTAAGTATATTCTATTTGTGAAAATGAGAGACAAAACAGATCCCCTTTTTCCAGCAACCCTTCCCTATTCCTTACTAGACCTAATTCCAAATTGCTAACTGAGCACTAACCAGTTTGTGGGGTAAACATTCCACGTTAGGCCATTATAAATATATATATATATATATTTCTTACAGACACAATTGCCTGTAGCTAGAGGAAACCACTGCACATTAAAAACAAAGAAACAATCAACAAAAAAAATGTGCAGTTCAGTTCAATGAAATTGACATACCCAGTATAGAACAGTAGCTCTAAAAGACCAGATCTGGAGAGTCCCCATTCTATGCAAGGCATTTTACAGTCACTTGCTTCGCAACTGATGATGAGCAGAGACCTTCACTGAGTACCAAGCTGCATAGTCACAAGGCTGGGACAGCCCATTTGATTATCTCCTTAATACACTGGAAGTGAGGTGTACAAACTCAGTTCAATAAAGGGTGATTTTCCTGGTTGTTCCCCCAATACTGTTAACTGAATTCCATTTGCTACAAAATGTCCTTTACCCCTCAATACATGTCTAGCTACAGAAAGTCAGTCTGTAGAATCCAGGCATGGCCACCATGCTGTGAATTAGCCTTATTTGTTCAATTATCAGATACCTGCACTTAGCAAAAGGCAAACAAGAGCCAATCAGATTTTGGCTGATGGGAAACAGCAAACTATGGTTGGCATATGGAATTGGATCACTCCACTTAGGAAATGTTGATGCTGTGTAGAAAATGCACGCTGTTTACTGCTTGTTCCAAAATAGCGCTAACTTTAAAGTAAGATATTTCCTCCTCCACCTTAGTGAAGGAATAAATTCCCTGTAATCTGATATTTTCATCTAATATAAAAGTTGTCATAAGAATCTGTCCCCTCTTTTTGGCTTCCTAGAAAGCTGTTCCTACCCTAAGAGATTTCCTGATGTTGGTGACGCTGCATGACCTTAGAAGACATGCGTGGAAATAGCAAAAATAAGGGTTTAGGTCTTCTAGGTTTAGCAACCACCTTGCTTGTTTCAAGCAGAGTTTCACCTCTTCAAGGTTAGCTAATAATGACAGGAAAGCCAGGCTAATAAGGGTAGTTTCTTCCAGCATGGTATGCACATAAGCAGTCTTTTACATCAGTTTCTACTCAGCTGCTGGACACTTCCCAACATAAGGCTTTTTGTTTGTTTGTAAGAACTTGACTCCTGCAATAATAGAAGCCTTTATATATTTGTTACAATCCACTAGCCATGCTCAAAAATATGTCTTCATTTTTTTAATACAGTGGCTAGTAGGCACCTTAACAACCAGCCAGTAATCAGTGTTGATCATCATTTAACTCCTAAACTACAGTACCAGGATGGTTGGCTAAAGAAAGGAAATTGATTGGCTGTAGTCTGAAACTTGCCCAGTACAAGTGTCTGGCTGACTTTGTCCTAAATAAGGCTAACATTAGTGAACTAAGAGAACAGCATTTGGTTGAAGAGTCTTGCCACTCAGGAGCAGCCCTCGCCAATGCGCTGGCATGATCGCCCAACTTTCCGGTCCAGTTTCACCATTTTCATAATGGCTTCTTCACGCCCGCGTCCCATGTGGTCAAATGTGCAATCGTGCTGTTCAGGCAGGCGATGCAACATACAGAACACATAACCTGTAAGGACAGAAGGTAAAAGAAAAAGAAAAAAGAAGAGTGAATAGACGATAATGTTAGGAATGTACTAACAGCTTCTAAGAGAGATTAATTACTACAAAAATTTGTATATGGCTTAGCGCATGCTTTTGCCATCTAGTCACTAAATAACCGAATGCTACAAGGAATAAATTAACCAACTGAAACCTTCAGGTTATCCACAGCTAGAGAGAGCTACCCGTTAAATCTTTTTAATTAAATTACCCATTAAATCTTTCCATTAGGTCATTATTTTTGATATTGTGCCTTCCATTTAAAATATAATCTCAGCATAGAAACTCATGCCTGAAGTGAAATCCTCTAAAGGAATTTTCCCAGAGATAAAGGAGAATATGTTTTAATTTTGAAAATCACAACTGAAGGAGTTAATTTTGAAACTGATACCTGTGAAATATGTAATAAATAACCTCATCAGCAGCCTCTGAAGGGGATTTATAGCAATAGAGCCAAAGTATATTTTCTCAAATCAGAACACCTGATGCAGCTTCATGCAAACATTGACAGCTGTTGGTGGTTATGTTTGTGTGAAACTGCTAACCATCTATAATCAGTGGCTCAAGCCATGTGCCAAATTTATTTTTTTTAAAAAAAACCATGTGTTTCTTTACAGATAATTTATTTGGAGCTACTTCAAAACTAACTTCAACACCACCACTATTATTCTTGTACAAAATTCTGCTTCCGCTTTTTCATTTTCACCTTTCCCATGAATTTTTGCACTTCACTGTTAATTTGAAATTCTAATTGACAAAGGTGAATGATTTACCTAAAAATATCTAGAAACTTTCAGAGATAAAGGCAGTGTAAATTTATGTACTACTGAACTACGTAGTGCCAGACAGTATGTGTCAACTAGGGGTTTTTTGAATATAAATACATTTGCACATCAGTTTAATTCTTGAAATACTTGTGCAGACTTTTCTGCTGTGATGATTTCTTGGTCCAAAAAGATGCAGGACTTCTGTATTTATTTTAAATTGCACTGCTTTTTTAAAAATTTAAACTTACTATAAAAATATTTAAAATAAATAATAAAAACCATTCTGGAACATACTTTTTGTAAAAACTATTTTCTTTCCATTTATTCCTTTACTTATGAATTCAGAAATGAGTACTGATACAACATATATGTCTAGCAACTACGTTTTACAGAAAATATGTAAGCTCTATAAACTTGTATAATAAAACAAAATTTAAAGATAAGGCAACCGGTATATAATAAAGGTCTACAAAATTCAGAAAGCACAAGGGCTTAAAACTCTAAAATGTTGAAAACAGTCCAGAATGTGAATAATTTGAAACTACACATCTAGAGAGAAATCAAATCAAATCATTTTTTTAAAAAACCCGACTTTGTCTAACACAGATATATTAAGGCAAATGACAGCAATGTTGAATAACAACAAATTCTTGAAAAAAAATGTCGATGTTTCACAGAATTTTGATTTTGGGATAATTTACTGCTTTATTCCTTTTTTTAAAAAAAAACAACAACAACACTAATATTAACAATATTTGAAAGCCTAGTTATATCAATTTTTATACTGAAACTTCTAAATCCAGATCTTTCTCACCATTTAAGATACAGGTACTTCTTGACTTATGACACAACTGAGCCCAAAATTTCTGTTGCTAAGCAAGACAGTTGTTAAGTGAATTTTGCCCCATTTTACAACCTTGCTTGCTACAGTTCTTGAATGAATCTCTGCAATTGTTAAGTTAGTAACATGGTTGTAATGCAAATATAACTTCCCCATTGACTTTGCTTGCAAAAAATGATCCATGACCCTAGGACACTGCAATCATCTTAAATATGACTCCATTGCCAAGCATCTAAATTTTGATCATGTAAATCGTAGTGATGCCGCAACAGTTGTAAGTGTGAACAATGGTTATAAACCACTTTTTTCAGTGCTGTTATAACTTCAAATGGCCCCTAAATAAGGGTTATAAGCCGAGGACTATTATTTATTTGATTTGATTTGGGTGCTGCCTAATTCCGACTCTGGGGAGCACAACATAAATTATTCTGAGCAAAGGAATTAAAAAAGAATTCATATTTAAAGTATACAATTTTATTTAGCTCTCAACCATTCTAGAAGTTCCTTATTAAATGAACTCTTAACGAGGGGAAAATAATTTGTTAGAACATGTCTATACTAAAAGAGATTACAAACAGTAATTTTCTAAAAAGTGATATCTAATTACTGGTTTTCAGCAGAAACAAACAAGATCGTAAGTGTTTACTGATTCTCTGCTTAAGGCAGAAATGTAAAATAAAAATCTTTTTAACAAGTAGATAACATTTTATTTCAGAATGCTTTGGGCACAGCACAACTACTACAGGTAGCATTCTTTTTTATTTTTTCCAGTTAAGTCTCAGGCAAAATAATTATATCTCAGCTGAGAGTGACTAACAACTTTTTCTCTGGTCTGTATAACATAGCAGTCCAATGTAAAAGGTAATCAAAGAATCTGAATTTGTTTTGTTTGTTTTTAAATGGTGCTTTGTTATGAAATCTTATGTTAAAGTTAATATGCTCCTTTGTAAGAAGCACATTTCTGACATTTTGGTTGCTAAGGCTAAAAAAACCCCACTGCATACTACTAGCTGTGTTTAATTTTGCAACTATTGCTCTGTTGTTATTACTGTAATCTTATGACTAGAAATACTGACAAACTGTAAGTTTATGCAACATGGTAACAAGCGCATGCCCCAAGAAAATGGTAAAAAGTCAGAGGAATTAAGAAATGTTTCAGAGGGGGAGCCTGATTTTTATAAAATGCACCAGTCCGATGTTCTATTGTATGTAGATTTTTTTGCACATGCACAGGGCTCCTCCTGATAGTTTTCCTAAAAACTGCTGTAGCGAGATCTTCCTCTTTGGATTAATTAGGCAAAGGATTGGGGATTTGAAAATATAGGGGAACTCTGTTTTACTGGCAGATGCTGTCCACAGCAAGTGGGCATTTCTATTTCCGCCTAAATTAATTCATTTATATAATATTTTTATGTTAGAAAATGTAACTCAGATTTGTGATCTAGAAAAGTTTAAGGATATATCCTACACATAGCAAAAAATAGTGTACACCACGGCTGTCAAACTCGCCGTGTTACATTGCCATCATGACATTTCACTACGTTTTTCCCATTCACAGATCTGGGGTGGGTGTCGCCTGCATGTGACGCATCTGGCCTGTGGGCCATCAATTTGACATCTCCGGTGTACACCATGAGAACCATACTTAGACAAACAAATTCAAGAAGTATCTAGAAAGTAGGATAAAGCATCTAATAGAATGGTTAGATAGTTAGGTGCTATGAATTGTGTTTGACTGCATAGACAAATGTGCATCTTAGTAATTTCCTTGGAAAAACTTCAACTCTGTAATTCCATCCATCCAACTTATTCACTGACTTCCTCTGTTTTCTTCAACCTTGTCAAGCATAGGGATTTTTTCTAGTTCATCATCTGCTTGTCTTATATGCCCAAAGGGTGCAATTTTCTGTTTGTCATTTGCTTAAGCCTTTACTTTGTTGATTTTTCTTTCATTGCAGCCCATGATACCCTTGGAAACTGTTCCAAATATGTAATTTAAAAGCATCTCTTTCTTTTATCTAATTGTTAACTTTTCATAGCCATATAACTGGGAAGACTATTGTCTTCACCATTCTGCTCTTCATTGCTATTAAATGCCCTTGTTTTTCATAATCTCATCTATGAGAGTCACTGCTTTCCTACCTAGGATTAATCTTTACTTCTGAGGCATACTGTCCTCCTTTGAGCTGAACAAAAGAAAACTACACATAACCTTTAATACTTCTCTATGAATTAAATATTCATTAAACATACAACTTGACATTACCTTCAACTTCTTAACATTTAAGATGAACACATATTTCTTTTTACTCCCCACTTCTCATATTCTTATTTCCAAAGTCTTCTTATTTTTGGCTAATAAAGTGTGTCATTTGCATATGTCAAATTGTTAGCATTTCAACCACCAATTTTGATTCCAACTCTGATCTCTTCCAACTTGAATTCCACTAATATATGCAAAATAACATTTAAATACTATAAAGCCAATATGCATCTATGTCTTATTCAAATCTATATTCTAAAATATTCTGTTTCTTCAAATTTAATTTTTAACAGCAGCTTCTTGTTCACTACTTTATAAGAATTCTTCAAAAATAAATCAGGTGTCCTGGTACTCATATTAGTCTTAATATATTCCACAGCCTGGCATAATCTACCCAAAGACCTTGTTGTAAACAGTGCAACAAACACGAACCTCCTTTTTGTATTATCCCATTTGCTCCATAAATCCTTCTCATGTTACTTATCTGATTGTAAATCTTTGCAGAATACTGACTCTGCATTTGGCAGTTTTCTCTCTTTATGTATAGCTTTATTGTTTTTTGTAAAATCAAGGTGGCAATCCGCAGGGAGGGCAGCTAATTATAACTGGAGTGTAGTTCACAAAAATGTTCCACTATAACAGCATGTTTTGGGTTATATCCCCAAAGCATAGCAACTGATGCCAATCTTGGCCCATGTATACTTTCTGTTAGAGTACTCCAAAAACAAAACCATCTTATTAGTCAAGTTCAACAAAGCTCCCAAAGGAGCTTTTATATTTGCTGATAATTTATCTCCTTTAGCCAATTCCCTTTTGCACCAATTGTAATTAATGCTTTTTCCTGTTTGAAAAGAGCTCTAGGTTATTAAAAACAATATTCAATTTTAATAACTCTTCACATGTCCTGATTCTGACTCTACTTTGCTCTGTTGTCAAACTTGTTTAGTAAACAAATTAATGCCTTTTTTCTTCTTATAATCTCTAATACGAGACATTTGAGAAAACCCAAAGAAATGAGAACAAAGCTTAATTTAAAGTACTTTAATTAAGACTTACTGCTGGTTCTAATGTGAAACTTTCTACAAAGATATTATTTC